CTCGTGACTATAAAACCCTAGCTTATTGAGAGGGAGGGCATGTCGTACTCGTACGTTCCGCTTTTTTTCCTGAAATATCTAAGAAGTGACCCTCAAAATCTAGGTTGTAAAGAGTGTCCGTTTTAAAAAAAACACACCCTGTCTTTTTCTTGAAAAAAAACATTTATATCATTTTCTTGAAAGAAAACATTTATATAAGGTTGCAACCTTAAAATGTAGAAGTAAAGATGCACCTCAAAAACCCATTTTAAAACGATTTTTGGATGTTGAAAAACCCTCTAATTGATCATCTCAACATCGAGATATATGAATATGAAAAAAAATAAAGGATTTCAAGTCGTAAAAAAGTGTATCTTGTAACACACTATCTAGGCTGTCTATTTTCAAGAGTTTCATATGTTTATAAATCTACTTGATTTGAATTATTTTTAGAATTTAAAATTTTATAATTAGATATGAAAATAGGTTCTCAAGCCCTCTTAAGAATTTTTATACCAAAAATTACATTTATGATAAAATTTAAAAGTGCGCCTTAATTGGATTGTTTAAGGTTGCAACAAACCACACCTCTCTTTAAAAACCATTTGAAAGATAAATAATAAAGAGATTGTATACAATGAGACTATTTACGTTTGATACACGGTCGTCACGATTACTTACAACCATCCGATATAAATTTTGATTGTTAGGATGCGTCACAAAATTTGAGAAAATTTCTTTTGAAGTTTGAGCTTGGTCAATGGAATAATTGCAGCCACCCAATTTTACATTTAATGGTCAAGATTAATGTTACCACCTTGTACCAAAGGTAAATGGTCTCATTCTATACTTTATATAATATTTTAACAAAATGTTAAATAAGATAAATCAATGAAATGTGTGGCATATATGAGGCCCCATAACCACACACGCGCCAACAAAAATGATCCTAAAACAAAATTTCTACAATTTCTAAAAGAAAAAAGTTTATATAGAGTGGAGGCTCTAAACAATCAAATCAAAGCCCACGTAAAAAATTTCACTATAAAAAGTTATTTTGATGCCCAAATATCCTCAAATTGATCATCTCGACATAAAAATGCATGGACATGAGAAAAAATGGATTTCAAGTTTTGGAAATAGTGCATCTTGTAATACATTTTTGGACTGTCAATTTTTAAGATTTTCAAGTTTTCATAGACCTGGTCGATCTACACTATTTTTGAAACTTTAAATTTTGTAGTTAAAAATGAAAATATATTTTAAAACTATCACAAAAATTTTTAGTATTGAAATCACATTTCTTGACGCTATTTGAAGGTGCCCATTACTTTGATTCTTTACAGCCACAGCTCTATACAACCTACACCCTTTTAAAAATGATCATAAAAACAAAATTTTCAGTTTTAAATCTGTCGCATACTAACAAAAGAAAAAAAACCAGTGACTTAATTTAGAATTATAAAAAAGAAAACTTGGATGCATACTTAACCCCACTTCCACGAGCATGAAAAAGATAGTTAAATACAAGAGACAGAAAACAACATAGAGAAAGTAACCCGAAAAAAAAAAAGGAGAGATAACGAGAAACGCAATTGTGACCCAATTTTTACCCACCCATTTCGAAATTTAAAAGAAAATAAAATAAATAAATAAATAAATAAATGCAAATGAAAAGCAGCTTAACATTAAAATAGAAGATCATCATCATCATTTTTACATTTTCTCAATTACTTCAGGCTTGAAAATAAAAAGATAAAGACAAAAAACTACAGCAAGTGGACAGAGTTTCAATTTTTGCTTTTTTTTTTTTTATTTGATGAAAAGTTACGAAGCTGTATTCAACGGTGGACAGAGTTTCAATCATGTGTCATCACTGGGTGCGTCATGTTGGAAGACTTTACATGCGATTTGAGCACCTACTTTCACACTTTTCTTATTTATTTGGGTTTGCATCAGCATCATGATTTGTCTCCATTCACGTAAATTCGTCTCCTCCTCATTGTCATGATTAGTGTAGGCCGTTCGATAGTTTTTTAGAATGGCTACAAAAATGGCGTGATAGTAACAAACGTATCAATGATGAACTTGTTGAGGCCGGTTGTTTATTGCTCAGTGATTTATGTACGGATTTTAAAATTTGAAGTAATCTATGAAATGAATAAACTTACACGAAAATTATAAAAAAAATCATTCAATTTATTTATTTTTTTAAATTATCTCTCGGTCTACTCAAATTTTGATTATCATTTTTTTAATTTTTTTTGTTAGTAGGGCAGTGCCTTAAAGTTTGGGGCATTGCTCTACTAATGAAAAAGACCTAAAAAAAAAAAAAAAGAGATCAAAATTCGGGTTGTTCAGAGGGTAATTTTGAAAAAATAAAAATGGTGGGTTGATCAACTTTCTTTGTAATTTTCATATATAAATAGAGCATTTTGTATTTTACCTCAACTTTTAATGTCCGTATGTAAATTACTCTTTATTGTACGAAAGCGGCCTATAGGGATTTCATAAAAAGATAAAGTTTAAGGTTGGAGCTTTTTCAACTGTAGTAGTAAGGTGCAGCCCAATAACATGGTAAAAAAGAGGGGAAAAGTTTCTATGCTTCCAATACAGCATAGAAGTTCTATCCTCTCCCTACCATCCAGCAGTCCAATTTTGATCAAGAGAGTCACTCACCGTTTGATCTTAGATCCAACATCTCAAAATATTTCATTTTTAGTTTTTTTTATACAAATTGTATGAATATGAAATTTGGTACATGCCATCTTCTCATTGGGGTGCACCTATAAAAAATATTAAAAATAAAATTTTGATAAAATATCATGACCAAAATTAACCTTGAATCTTTCGACGGTATTTAGGTCATTTTATTTTATTAAAAATATTTTTTTTATTTTTTGCTAACCCACTTTAATAGACGAATGGACGTCCAAAATTTGGTGTCAAAATAGTTTATAGAAATAAAAATAAAAATAAAATAGTGTAAAGATGTGATATTGTGATTGGGACAATCTTAACCCTCCATTCAGAGTGAACGGTTGGATAAAAAGGAAGATTGAACTTCTATGTTGTAGTGGAAGCATAGAAAGCTTGTCAAAAAAGAATGCTCTAAAGATAAGAATTCCTTTTCTCGACCTCAAGACATACAAATATAAAAAAGAAAAAAAAAGTCCAAGTCTTAAAAAAAGTGCACCTTTGTAAGAAGTTATCTAGATTGATTTTAAGTCTTTATACATGTACTCTATCTACACTTATTTTGACAATCTTAAATTTTATAATTATAGTTTAACACAAATTTTTAAGCCATCATAAGATTTGTAACACCAGAACTAATACTAGAACTACATCCTCTAGGTAAAACATAGAATTGCTTCTAGAGCATTAGGTGAGTACCTTATACAATCTCCCCCTTTCCCAAAAGCTTCTTTGTTGCATCACTTTAAATGTATTAGTAGGAGTTTAATTTGAAAGTTTCGAGCCTCATTTTTTTTTTTTTTTTTTTAAATATATTGGATACGTCAGTGGCTGAGGTCAGGACCCTACCAAGTTTTTAGAAGTCAGCTGTTTTTTGAAAGTATCAATGCAGTGTCACCGGTGGAATGAAAACCTCAAAGTGGGGACCAAGGTGCGGGTCCTTTTTGAAAGTCCCAACTCCCAACCCTTTAAGCGGAATGCCGCCGGACCTTTTCCAACATTATTCAGGACAAGAAGTCTTCCAGTCCATCCTTGTCGGGACTCAGTATGTAATCTACCAAATAAATACCTGGTACTCCTTCACCACAAAGTGACAAAAAATGAGGGGACCTCCCTCCCTGCAATACGATGAACAAAATAATAAAAGGAGGCACTGCCCATTAAACAACATACGATCCTATTCTTTTCCTCTCAAGTGTAGACATGAGAGTACGACTTTTTCCAGCTTTACATTTATAAAAATATTTTTATATGGAAGAAGGCCCCCACTTATTTTTCATTAATAAATATAAAAAATGGGATCGTAAATAAAGAGATGAGGGTTAAAATTAATTACAACCATCCCATACAAAATTTGATAGCTTCGACACAAAATTTGAAAAAATTTATTTTGAAGTTTGAGCTTGATCAATAAAATAAGAGAAAAATGCAAAAACTTCTTAGGAATATACTATTCACTCAACTTACTCCTTCTGAATTTTCTCTCATATGTTTCCGTCAACAACTTATCTTCGCAAAACCCCTCCCCCAACCCAAAAAAGAGTAAACAATGGTCCAAAATACTCTTTTCTCTTCATACCCCCTCTCTCCGCACCCGAAGCTTTTCCCACGCGCTCCCGCACTATAGAAATATACTCCGGCAGATAAGCTCCGGCAGTAAGCCACTTCGATCTGGCAGTTTAGTACGTCGCTCCAGTGATACATTTTGCGCTCCAACAATATCTACCATGGGCTCCGGCAATACTCTGTTGGAGCACATCGCTCTGGCGGTGTGGCAGTGTGCTCCGGCATTGTTTGATCTCGCTCCGGTAGTGGCTATTGCGATCCGGCAGTCATTTCAAAGTGGTCCGACATTGTTGTTCTTCGCTCTAGCAATAGGCAACTTGGGACCGCCAATTGAATTTTTATTGTACGATAAGGGAATTTTTGTCAAAAAAATTATAACTTTTTATTTTGGGGGGTTTTTGCGAGGAAAGCTTGTTGAGGGCAAAAAAGTGTGAGAAAAAGTTTAGGTGGGGATAAGTTGAGTGAATAGTATATTATGGGGGTTTATAATTCTCCTTAAAGTAAATACACCCATCTAAATTTACATCCAATAGTTAAGATCAATTTTCATACCAAAAGTGAAATGGTTATACTTTTCCAAAAAGAAAAAATTACATGGTACTATTTCACAACCCTACCAAAGGATAATAACTCTAGTCTCATCCACATAGCTACAAAACTAATCAATAAAAAGTGGAGAACATAGGACATAGGAAATTGATAATAAAGTAAACAGTGAAACATATGACATAAGAAATTGATAATAATGAGGCATTCATTCAATCGTCAGGTGATTGGTCATTGGGCAAGCGAACCCGGATCGCCTCCTCCTCACGAGCCAAGGATATGAGGTCCTCCACAAAGACCCTCAGGTTCTTATCAGAGGAGCCCCCCTCTTCTAACGCCTCTCTTGCGGCCTCTTTCAATTTCATGGCATTCTCTCTGATCTTCGATGCCCTCTGCCCCTCCCTTATCTCCTTTATGCATCTACAAACCTCCTCTCTTCGGACCACTCCCTCTGCGTCGCGCTCGAGCCGGACCCCAACGCTGTAGACATCGACCAAGAACTTTGCATTCGTGACTTGGTCGCCCCAGTGAGAAAATGCTAGGATGGGGGTGCCGGCTGCGATGGTCTCGAGAGTCGAGTTCCATCCGCAGTGTGTTACGAAGCAGGCAACCGAAGGGTGGGTCAGCACCTCCACCTGCGGGCACCATTTAACGATTTTGCCTCGTCCGGCTGCTGCATCCAAGAATCCGGTGGGAAGCAGGAACTCGGAGGTGCTGTCAACCGGCTTTGCCACCCAGAGGAAGGGCCGTCCGCTGCTCGCGAGCCCCCACGCTAACTCCTCAATTTGCTTTGGCGATAGGCTAACAATGCTCCCAAAGGAAACATAGATTACTGATTCTTTGGGCTGAGTGTTTAGCCAATCCAGGCAGTCATCCTCGGACTTCCACAGATCCCCCCGTACCTCGGAGGCTGTGGATCTTTCGAGCAGCCCCAAGGGCACAAGCGGGCCTATAGTCATGATCGGTGTGAGCTCCGACACTGACTGTATGGCTTCAGTCTCGAGTGCATGGAACGAGTTCGCTAGCACCCACTTCACCTTCTTGATTTTCTTGATGTGGCCCAATATCGCATCTGCCAAGCACTGGTAGGGCGCAAAGGGCACGAGGAAGCTCGGGAGCTCATTCGTTTTCAGCACAGGAAGCCCCGGAAGGCTGACGTCTATGTTCGGTCTCTCCGGGGTCGGGAACTCGCCAAGCCTGTAGAGGCTTTGGTAATAGATGGCATAGACAGCACAAGACTGGACCCAGAGCATCGCGCATGGGATGCCAAAGCCCTCAGCCACATCGACGACCCACGGTACAAATGGGTTGCTCACAATACAGTGCACCGGCCGGCCCCGGACCTGGAGGTCATTGATCAGGGTTGCTAGCCCTTCTGGACCAGCACGGTTGAGTTGGGCCATGAACTTGTCAACGTCGTGCTGATTGCCATCGACACTGAGGCCATCGGAGAAGGTCTCGAAGTTGATGTGCTCATCAGAGCCAGTGGCACCTGAATCGCGCATCTGCTGGCCGATGGCCTCGTTGGTGGCTAAGCTCACGAGAAGGCTGGCGTTGGAGGCGGTGAGGCGGCGAGCAAATCGGATTGCTGGCTTAACATGGCCTTGTGCTGGGAAGGTGACGAGTAGGATATGGATATTCACTTCTAGGGTAACCATCTTGGCTCGCCTGATGCTGTTGGGCTTAGTTAGTGGATGCTATGGGTTTTTACTCCTAGTCAGAGATAAGAGGGGGCTCGCTCCCTTCATGCAAGGTTTCTAGTGCACAGGGATGGGTTAAAATGGTGTCATAGCACGGAGGATGTGAGGCCGTATGTGCTGGATACGATGGCTTTTTTTTTAGAAAAATATGTGCTGACGATGTTTCTATTTGATTATTATAACAAGAAACCATAGTTTTTTATAAGTGTCGTATGCAATTACAACAAATACGTATGTTTCTCAAAGTTTTTTATAACTATTTACGCATATTGGAGTATATTATCTATTTACTCCTTCAACCAAAATTATGCTAGGGGTACCTTTTATATCACAAATTTTAGAGATATAAACTCTACAACTTAAAGAATATTCTCAGGAAAAAAAAATTAAATAAAATATAAATTTACTAGAAAAAGATAAACCTTTCGAGATTGAATAGGGACCCTCCAATATTTTTAATGGCTAGATCTAACGCGGTCCTTGAAAAGTAGTCTCAATCATATAATAATTAAGGATAAAATCAACAAAATACCTTTAACTATTTTGGCATCCCAAAGAAGATTTGGAAGCACATGTCCTATAGTGTCATTTATAATATTTCCACCCCTCCAGCGATATCCTAATAAGTTTTGATCCCTATTTTGATATTTTCGGGAAAAATAAAAGTAAGAAGGAAATTACGTACGGACACCGTTTCCACACATTGACTACCACATGGGTACAATTTTTTGTATAAATTACCATGAACACCTTCTTCGACCACCCCTTTCATTTCCTCTCTATAACTTTTCTCCCGTTACAACCAGACAGGAGGGAAATACCATTGTTCCCAAATGTTTTTTGTAAAGTGCATACAGTGTGTTCCTGCGGAGATTACTGTGCATGTGCTTCCTCAGTCAAAACACCTAGCTCTATTGATTTTTTTAGTCTAAAATTTTATCAACCATGTAGTAATTACTAGGTGATTATTTTTAAAAATAAAATTGAATTTTTCATTTCATGACAATTAGAAATAGCCATTAAAAAATTGGATGTTCCCTATTCAATCTCGAGGCATTATTTTTTTCTAGAGATTTTATTTATGCTTTTTTTATCCTGAGATTATTTTATAGGTTGTAGAGTTTATATCTCTAAAATTTGAGATGTAAAAGGTATCCCTATCATTATTTTGGTTGGAGGAATAAATAGATAGAGGTGTAAAATTATTAAAGCACCTTATTGATATAGAAAATATAAAAATATATTTACAAATACAATTTCTAATCTTTTGACCCAATCTTTCAAAATTTTCACTTTCTTATTCTTATCCAAATTATTTATCATTTTATATATGGGTTATGTTAGGGTATTCACACTATACGTAGAAATGTGAGCCTATTAATAAATATAATTTCTAGATGGATTTTTTTATTTAATATTTAAGGACTTGTAATCTCTAACATGGAGATGATGAATATGAAAAAATAAATAAATTTTTAAAAACTAGAAATAATAATTCTAGTAAGAAAAAATTTGGACTGTTAGTTTCTATTGTTTTTAAATAGAACACCCACTTGCATCCATCTTTAAGATTGATGCTTTACACTTTTTGGATCGTCTATATAGTCATGCAATCCAGCCTGCATGAAACAATTTTCCCTCACACTATCGAGTTATTTGACGTTGAACTCAATAAATTTTGAAAACTTATATACTCTTGTTTTGTACTTAGAGTTTTTTTAGTAAAGGTATTTTTGGTCATTGGGAGAGGTGTGACATCATCTACATGAAGGTGATATCATTCATATGAAACATTAAATGCCATTAATGTGCTCCGTATGAGTGATGTCATATTTCATGTGGATGATGTCACACTCTTCTGACAAAAAATACTCTTATTAAAAAAATACTCTTTATACAATACAAATACATAGATGTCTAAAATTTGTTAAGTAAAATGATAAATCACTCCAAAATAGAACACCATGACATAATAAATTGAAGTGTGGGTGTCTAAGGCAATTAAATATTGTACAGAGCCATTAAATATGGTACGGGCGCAGTACCACGCTTTCTTCGGCGAGAGTAAAGCATAAAAGAGAGGCGATGATCGGGAGACGACGCCTTACCATAAGCGTCACTTCCATACAGCTTCACCCTTATTTTATACTATAAATGATGTGAACGTTGGACGTGCCCTGTCTGTTTTTATAGTACAGATGAAGAACTTGCGACACATGGTTCTTGCAGCATAACCGCATATAAAAAATAGTCAAGTTGAAAAAAAATATTATATAGGTAAAATAAAAACTAATAAAAAATAATTTTGATTCAAACCAAGGATTAAAAAATCTCCAAGTCGAGCCGGACTTTCCCGGTTCGACTCGAAACTCGTCAGAGAACGAGTCGGCTCCACAAATAAGCCGGGAATCGCCCGTGTCCAGAGAGAACATGGCGATTCCTAACAGTGACTTACGAAGGTCAAGTCAGACCGAGTCACCCAGAAGAACACGGCCTGCACAGTGTTCTTTACAGGATTTCAATTTTTTTTGTCATTTTGTTATCGATTTTCAATTTTTTCAGCCTTATGAACGAATCTTACAGGCTTTAATTCAAATTTCGCATCGATTTTAGTCAATAAAACGAATTAAAAAGCACCGTTTTTTATCAACAAATTTGGATCGAAGAGTGACTTTTAAGGTTTCCGCCATTTCAATGATTTCAAGCGAAAGAACGCATCATTTTTTGCAAGAGTTCTGGGTGAGTGATCATAAGAGTATTGGTCAGAATTTTGTGTTCATAATTTGCGATTATCTTGGAGGAATACGTATCAATTTTGAGTTTGAAGGCACGGGTGCATGAAGAACATTTAAGAACTATGTTTTTTTTTTTTTCCCCATGCGATCAAATTCAGTCAATATTTTACAAATCATGTATTAAATTCATAGGATTTTGATTTGTTGTAGTATTGTTTTTCATCACATGTATTCAATTTGATTACATTTATTCAATTTGAGTTGGATTTTATAGAAAAAAAGAGTGATGTCCGTTAAAAAAATGGACAGTGTTTTTTTTTTTCTTCCATCATTTTCTCAATTTCAGTAAATATTTTACAAATATTGTGTT